GGTGTCCCCCAGGGATGTGTTCTGAGCACAACACTTTTTCTCCTTGCTATAAATGATTTGGCCTCTAGTCTTCCATCCAATATTTGGTCATCACTCTATGTTGATGACTTCACTATTGCCTGTGCAGGCACTGACTGTCACCTCATTACAGTTTCTCTCCAGCATGCGGTCGACCATGTTTCCAATTGGGCCACCACACATGGGTTTAAATTTTCCAGTACCAAAACTCACCAAATTACTTTCACTAGACTCTGTCATCTCCGATCATCCTTTATACCTCTATGGCACCCGTATCCCTGAACGTGATGCAGTCAGGTTTCTAGGCCTCCTCTTTGACCATAGGTTATCCTGGAAACCTCACATTACCTCTCTGAAGACAACTTGTCACAGCCGGCTGAACCTTCTTAAAACCCTTGCTCATCTTTCATGGGGAGCTGATCGTCGAACTGTCCTTCACCTACATTCCACCCTCATTTTGTCGAAACTTGACTATGGTGACCAGATCTATTCAGCTGCCTCTCCTGCTACTCTATCTAGCCTCAACCCTATTCATCATCAAGGATTACGTTTATGCCTTGGTGCTTTTCGCTCTTCCCTTGTTGAGAGCCTTTATGCAGAAGCGAACGTTCCATCCTTATCCGATTGCCGTGATGCCCATTGCCTTTGCTACTATGTACTCTCTCATGATCTCCGCAATCCTTCCATTTATAGAATGGTCACTGATATTAGTAGACATTCTTTGTTTGTTCGCCGCCCCTGTTTGCTCCGTCCCATCTCTCTTTGCCTACATTCGCTCTTGTCTTCTCTTCAATTTCCACCGTTCTATGTTCATGTAGCATCTCACTTTTCCCTACCCCCCTGGGAAGTTCCAGCTGTTTGAGTCTGTTCTTTCTCACTCCCTTGCTCGAAAGCCCAACTGACTACAGTAGCTTCTCGCTATCTTTTTCTTGACCACTTCCACTCTCACTCATGCCATTGCAGTGTACAAAAACGGCTCTAAGTCTTCTGACGGCGTAGGATTCGCAGCAGTGTTTCCGGACAGCATCGTACGAGGGCATTTACTATCTTCGGCTAGTATCTTTACTGCTGAATTGTATGCCATTCTTGCAGCACTTATCCGTATTGCATCTATGCCTGTGTCATCATTTGTGGTTGTCTCAGACTCCCTTAGTGCTTTACAGGCTATACAGAAATTTGATACACCTCACCCCTTAGTCCTCTGTATCCAACTTTGGCTACGCTGCATCTCTACCAAGCATAAAGATATTGTTTTTTGTTGGGTCCCTGGTCATGTTGATGTACAGGGCAATGAACAGGCACACACTGCTGCACGGTCAGCAGTACATGACCTACCAGTTTCATATAGAGGTGTTTTGCTGCAATAGCTACCCACCTTCACACCCGTTGGCAACAACTTTGGTCTACTCTACTCAGTAACAAACTTCAGTCTATTGAACCGAGTATAGGTTACTGGCCGACTTCTTGTCACCAGTGCCGAGGCTGGGAGACTACTCTCTCCTGTCTCCGCATTGGCCATACTCGTCTTACTCATGGATATCTCATGGAGAGGCGCCCTGCTCCTCAGTGAGAATTGTCAGGTTCCATTATCGGTCAGCCACATTCTGTTAGACTGCCCACTTTATCAACGAGCACACAGAATTTACCTCCAACGTCGTCTTCGCTCCGTGGCTCTTTCTTTACCTTCCCTTCTCGCTGATGGACCCACCTTTCATCCGGACTCTCTCATTGACTTTTTGACAACAACTGACTTACTTCACAAACTCTGATGATACCTTCAGCCCTTTCTTCCTCGATCTCTTGCTACCCTCTACCCCCGCACTATCCCCTGCCCCGCTGTTTTCTGTAACCTACTGATCGCCCCTTCCCCCTTCTGCCGCCCAATACCCTCGCTTCCTTTCCTACTCTGCAGCGCTGTATAGCCCTTGTGGCTTAGCACTTCTTTTTGATTATTATTATAATAATAATAATAATAATAATAATAATAAACTGGATGATGGTGAGGCACCAAAACTCTGCTGGCTGTTAGGGCATGCTGTGGGCATCTTCCTGGGTATCAGCCTGGAGGAAGTGCAACGGAAAAGCTTACAAGACAAAAGATCTGTTCCTGATCTGATCAGTCAGGTTTTGATGGCTTTTTGTTTATTATTTCTTTGGGTTGCTAACAGCAACATCCAGGTTCGTGTGCAGGAAGTCTGTCCTTAGACCAGTTTATGAGGTTAAGAACTCTTGAAACCAGTCACACCTGTCATTAATCAATCAGAATGCACAAAAAAAAAATCAAAATATTTAACAAAAATTCTTTTCACAAGAAGTATTTCAGATATGGCAATCATATTGCCTTTTACTGATCAAAAAATAGTGTTAACATTCATTTTTTTTAACACGTTGCCCATCTCCCACTGAGACAGGGTGACCCAGAAAGAAAGAAAAACCCAAAAAGAAAGAAGAAACTTTCATCATCGTTCAACACTTTCAAGAACATAAGAATGGAGGAACACTGCAGGCCTACTGGCCCATGCGAGGCAGGCCCTCATGAAAACGACCTCTACCTAAAGCTACCCAAGAAATAACTCCCGTACACAATGACACCATTCAAACCCAGCCCCTCCCACTCTTATATTTGTCCAGTCTCTTCTTAAAGCTACCCAAGGTCCTAGCCTCTATCACCCCACTGGGAAGACTGTTCCACGCATCTACAACTCTGTTAGAAAAACAATACTTACCTATGTCCTTTCTAAATCTAAATTTATCCAACTTAAATCCATTATTTCTGGCTCTTACCTGGTTCGACACCCTCAGTACTTTATTAATATCTCCCTTGTTTATGCCCGTCATCCACTTATACACTTCAATGATATCTCCCCTCATTCTACGCCTCTCCAAAGAGTGGAGATTCAAGGCTTTTTAAGTCTATCTTCATACGGGAGGTTCCTTACACAGTAAATCATTTTAGTCATTCTTCTCTGTATGTTCTCTGAGTCTATATCCATCCTGTAGTAAGGGGACCAAAACTGAGCAGCATAATCTAAATGAGGCCTCACTAGTGATGTATAGAGCTGTAAAATAACTTTTGGACTTCTGTTACTTATACTTCTTGAGATAAATCCAAGTAATCTGTTGGCCTTGTTGCACACACTAAGGCACTGCTGTCTTGGCTTTATTTATTTTTTTTTATTATCACACTGGCCGATTTCCACCAAGGCAGGGTGGCCCGAAAAAGAAAAACTTTCACAAAGTTTTTCTTCTTCTCTTTTTTAGTAAATGTCTACAGGAGAAGGGGTTACTAGCCCATTGCTCCCGGCATTTTAGTCGCCTCATACGACACGCATGGCTTACGGAGGAAAAATTCTTTTCCACTTCCCCATGGACCATGACTCCCAAGTGTTTTTCACATTCTGTATGAACAAGCTCTACTTCACCTAGATTATAGCTTCGAGGGTTATTTTCATTACCAAATGCTCGTACATTACACTTATCCACATTGAACTTCATCTGCCATTTTTCAGACCAAGAGATTAATTTGTCCAAATCCTCCTGGAGTTCATTGCTATCCTCCTCAGAGTGAATTATATGGCCTATCTTTGTATCATCAGCAAACTTACTCATGTCACTCGTAATCCCCTCATCAAGGTCATTAATGTAAATTATGAACAAGAGAGGGCCTAAAACTGATCCTTGTGGAATGCCACTAGTGACTAATCCCCATTCAGATTTCACTCCATTAATGGTAACTCTCTGCTTTCTATTGATAAGCCATGCCTCTATCCATGCTAGAACTTTACCTCCTATACCATGAGCTGCCACTTTTCTTAAGAGTCTCTTGTGAGGTACTCTGTCGAAGGCTTTACTATAATCCAAATAAACAATATCATATTCCTTATCACTGTCAACTGCCTCAAATGTTCTATTGAAGAACGTCAGTAAGTTTGTCAGGCAGGAAAGACCTCTGGTGAATCCATGCTGAGATTCATTCATCAAGTTACGCTCTTCAAGGTGACTTCTAATAATGTCAGCTATAATTGATTCTAATAATTTGCTCACTATAGATGTCAGGCTTATTGGACGGTAATTTGAAGGAACGGACTTAAACCCCTGATTTGAATATAGGAACCACATTAGCCATCTTCCACAACTCTGGCACAATACCAGTAAGGATGGACACATTAAACACACTCAATAATGGCTGACTAAGCTCCATCTTGCATTCCTTAGGTACCCTGGAAAACAGCTCATCGGGTCCTGGGGTCTTATTTTGCTTCAGTTTGTCTATCTGTTTAATAACCCTACATAATCACTGTCTTGGCAGAGTCGCTCAGATACGACAGTTTAGATGTCATTCAAAACAGTCAGTATCCCGAACCCCTCCTTTAAAGTGCAGGCATTATACTTCCCACCTCCAGGACTCAGGTCCAGCTAGCTGGTTTCCCTGAATCCCTTCACAAAACATTACCCTTCTCACACTCCAACAGCTCGTCAGGTCCCAAAAACCATTCGGCTCATTCACTCCTGTCTAACATGTTGGAAGTCCAAGCCTTACCTAGGATGACCCTTACCTCACCTTCCTTCCAATACAGATTTATATGCTCTCCAAGTTTTTCTACTTTGTTCCATTCTCTCTAAATGACCAAACCACCTCAACTCATACATTCCCTTGTTTACCTCCATGGATAACGTTTTTTGTCTCCACAGATACCTCAAAGCACCACTCGCCTTTTTTTTTCCTTTATCAGTTCTATGGTTAACCTCGTCCTTCTTAAATCGTTCAATGTGTTATCCAGTATTTTTTTTTTTATCTAAGTCATTTGATACCCTCATCACCTTACTCTTACCGATGTTCACTTTCACATTTTTTTTCATGATATTAAATGCAGCGCTGTATAGTCCTTGTGGCTTAGCGCTTCTTTTTTGATTATAATAATAATAATTCATGATATTAAAGTACAGCAGTTATTTATTTGTAATTGTTTTTTCTTTTGCAGGTATCAACCCAGAAAATAATCTGCCAACTGTTGGTTTTCGTGTTGCCAGCTACAAGGAAGGCTCCATTCATGTTGGTCCAGTTGATCATCTCTGCCATCTTCCTTACCAAATGAAGAAAATTGTCTTGGTATGTTATATCATTGCATCATTCCTTTTTCTCATTGTGTTGTTGCTTGTTCTCCTTTGCATTTTATTCACATTTTTTCTGTACCTTTTCCTAACAACCCTTTTCCCCTTTCCCCCCTCTTTCTCTGTGCCCTTTCTGCATTCCTTTTTTCCTTCTGCATCCCCTGCCCCCCCCCCCCTCCTCTCCATTCTCCATTCTATCTGCATTTATTTTTTCTTTCTGCTTCCTGTTTTCTACTTGAGCATCCCCTTTACCTCTTTTTCCTTTCACCATCCCTCTTATCTTCCTACATTTCCTTTCACCATCCCTTTTGCTTCCCCCCTTTTCTCTTCACCATCCCTTTTATCTTCCTCCTAATTCCTTCAGCATCTCTTACCTTTCCCCGTTTTCCATTGGCATTCTTTTTTAAACCATTTTTCTTCCCTGCCCCAATGCTTTCCATGCCCAAATAAAAGACTGCATGCTTCCCTGTATTGAATTCTCTCACTGTTGCAACCCTCAAATTAATCCCATAACCCCTTTCAGGGTTGGTGCCTTACTAGTACAGCTTGAGAGCCAGGATTGTTGCCATAATTGTACATCAAAGTTCTAGCTCCTAATTGAGTGGAAGAAAGCTGGTAGGCCTGCATATGAAAGAATGGGTCTGCATGGTCAGTGTGCGCAGTATAAAAAAATCCTGCAGCACGTAGTGCATAATGAGATAGAAGTCAGACCTTGTTTTTGGTTTAAAACAGCGATTTGCTGTGTATTTCCGTATAGCAATTATGGTTGTACATGTATTCTTGTTTTCTTGGTCTTATTTAATAGAATGGAAGATATATTACAGAAATAGAGATGATTTTGATTAGTTTAACAACAAAAAGTACCTTGTAATTGAGCTCAAAGTAGCAGAAATGTTCGATTTTTGCCATTGTTCAAGAGTAAACAAATCACGCCACATGTCCAGTACATACATGTCAGCTGGTGAGTCTGATATTCTTTCACTGGTGCACTGATATTATTTATACCATTTTTACAATAGTGCAGTAATCTGCATAACAGTAAATCTTCAGAGTGGCCTGGAGACATGACTAATGAACAGAAAAAATGTTACTTTAGTGCCAGGAATGTCTGCCATGTTTATTCTGGACCCTATTTTGAAATTGACATCTTTTGAAATTTGTGTGAAATTGGCCAAATTGCCAATTTCTGACCACTTTATTGGTAGTTGAAATCGGTAAATAGGCGGTTTCTTGTATTCAGTCGATAGAACAAATGTAGTTCTAGTGAACTAGCTTTGATTTTAGTCAACTGGAACAATGGAATTGACTGAAAATAGGGCTCAAAGTGGGTGAAGAAAATTTTGGGAATCAATAATTGCTAAGGCAGTTCATAGCCATCTTGAAAGGTATGAATTGATTAATGAATCTCAGCACGGTTTTACAAATTGGCATTCCTGTCTTATGAATTTACTAACTTTTTTCACTGAAAGGTATTTGAGGAGGTTGATCATGGTATTGAATATGATAGTGTATATGGACTTCAGTAAGGCTTTTGATAAAGTTCCACATCAGAGGCTATTGAGGAAACTTAAAGCACATGGAATAGGAGGAAAATTTTTTTCCTGGGTAGAGGCATGGTTGACAAATAAGCAGCAGAGAGTTTGCGAAAATGGGGAGAAATGAGAATGGGGGCATGTCACAAGGTCAGTGTTGGGCCCCTTCTTGTTCACAATTTACATAAACGACATAGATTAGGGAATAAATAGGAATACCGTGGATCCCTGGTTATCGGCTGGTTTGGTTATCGGCCAACTCGGTTATCAGTGGGTTTTTCGGCCTCCGGTTATCGGCCGTTCACTCGGTTATTGGCCATTTTGGACACGTCCATCCGCCAGATAGGGCAGCTTGTGCTTCAGTTTGGCTTTCTCTCTCGGTGGCTGAGGATGCTTCTGCTCATACATCCAAACATTTCGCTTGTTCACCATTGTTTTTAGAGGTTTTTCTTGCAGTGCAACTGTGAAATAAGCGAAGGTGGCTCCAAAGAAAATTCCTAGTAAAGTTCCTCTGGTAAAGAAAATGGGAAACACTATGGAATTTAAGTGTGAAGTGATAGAAAAGTTTGAGAGTGGTATGAAGGTGATGGAACTTGCCAGGCTGTACAGCAAGAATAAATCAATTACATCCATCCTGGCAAAGAAAGAACAAATCAAAGATGCTAATGTTGCAAAAGGAGTAACTTTTCTAACTAAACAAAGGCCACCACTAATGTAAGAGATGGAAAAATTATTATTATTTTGGATTAAGGAAAAAGAATTAGTGGGAGACAGTGTTGTGGAGTCGATCATTTGTGAGAAGGCAAAGCAGTTGCATGAGGATCTTGCAAAGAAATTGTCTGGAACAAGTGTTGCAGTTTGTGAATTTAGTGCCAACAAAGGATGGTTTGATAGATTTATGAAGCGTAGTGGCATACACAGCGTTGTAAGGCATGGTGAGACTGCAAGTTCTGACAAATGTGCAGCTGAAAAGTATGTTCATGAATTCCAGGACTATGTAAAGGCTGAAGGATTCGAACCCCAACAAGTGTTTAGTTATGACGAAACAGGCCTATTTTGGAAGAAAATGCCAAACAGGACCTACATTTCCCAGGAGGAAAAGGCACTGCCAGGACACAAGCCTATGAAAGACAGGCTTGCTCTTTTATTGTGTGGTAATGCTAGTGGGGATTTCAAAATGAAGCTTTTACTCGTGTATCACTCAGAAAATCCCAGAGTGTTCAAGAAAAACAATGTCATGAAGAATAGATTGTGTGTGATGTGGAAGGCTAATCATAAGGCATGCGTCACAAGGCAAATTTTCAAAAGAGTGGGTTAATGATGTGTTTGGCCCAAGTATGAAAAAAAATACCTCCTGGAAAAGAAATTGGCACTCGAGTACCTCCTGGTACTGGACATTGCTCCTGCACATCCTCCAGACTTGCAAGACCAAGTGTTTAGGGACTTCAGTTTCATCACAGTGAAGCTCTTGCCTCCTAACACTACTACTCTCCTCCAGCCCATGGACCAGCAGGTCATTTCTAACTTCAAAAAACTACACAAAAGCAGTGTTTCAGAAGTGTTTTGAAGTGACCTTGGACACTCAGTTGACCCTAAGAAAGTTCTGGAGGAATCACTTCACTCTCCTCCATTGCATAAGCCTTATAGGTAAGGCTTGGGAGGGAGAGACTTCCAGGACTTTGAACTCTGCTTGGAGAAAACTGTGGCCAGATTGTGTCCAAGAGAGGGATTTTTGAAGGGTTTGAGGCTCACTCTCACCCTGTGGACTCTATTGTGGCACTGGGGAAGTCCCTGGGGTTGGAAGTGAGTGGCGAGGATGTGGAAGAGTTGGTGGAGGACCACAGGGAAGAGCTAACCACTGAAGAGCTGCAAGAGCTTCATCTCAAACAGCAACAGACCACAACTGAGGAACTTGCTTCAGAGGAAGAGGGAGTGAAGGAGGTACCTTCTTCAGAGAAGTGTGTGCAATGTGGACTACGGTGCAAGCTTTTGTAGAGAAACACCACCTTGACAAAGCTGAAACAAGCTATATCTGAAACATGTTTACTGACAAAACCCTGTCCCACTTCAGGTAAATCTTGTAGACGCCAGAAACAGAGCACTCTGGACAGTTATTTTGCGAGACGGGTCAAGTGACTCAAGCTGGTCCTAGTGGCAATAAAAGACTGAGAAGGGAAGTAACCCCAGAGAAGGCTTTGCTACCTTAAGTCTTTATGGAAGGGAAATTCCCCTTCCAAACACTAACTCCTCCCTTTTTCCTCCTCCCTATCTTCCAGAAGCCAGCATTAGCCTTCAATAAATGTATGTTTGAAAAATTATTTTTTGTGAATATCTTTGTTTGGAATGGATTAATTGTATTTTCCATTAATTCTTATGGGAAATATTAACCCTTTGACTGTTTCGGTCATATATATATATGACTTACGAGCCACCGTGTTTGACGTATGTATACTCATAAATTCTAGCGGCTTCAGATCAAGCAGGAGAAAACTGGTAGGCCCACATGTAAGAGAATGGGTCTGTGTGGTCAATGTGCACCATATAAAAAAAAATCCTGGAGCACGCAGTGCATAATGAGAAAAAAAACTGACCGTTTTTTTTTAATTAAAATACCGACTTTGTGGTCTATTTTCGTGTAGTATTTATGGTTGTATTCTCATTTTCTTGGTCTCATTTGATAGAATGGAAAACATATTATAGAAATAGAGGTGATTTTGATTGTTTTTACTATGAAAAGAACCTGGAAATGGAGCTCAAAGTAGGGGAAATGTTTGATTTTTGCCGATGTTCAAAAGTAAACAATTGATGTCATTAGCCAATAAATGTCCAACTAGCCATTCTAATATGCAGTCATGAATGGGTTGACATTATTTGTACAATTATTACAGTATTGCAGTAGTCTGCATAAAAGTAAATCTACTTTTTGTTTGAATAAAAATTCAAAATAGAAAGCAAGAGTAATATCGGAGGGGCCTGGAGACATGACTGATGAACAGAGAAAATGTAATTTAGAGCCAGGAATGTCTGCATTGTTGATTCTGGTCCTCATTTTGAAATTGTCATATTTAATTTTCGTGAAATTGGCCAAATTGCAAATTTCTGACCACGTTATTGGGTAGGTGAAATCGGTAAATGGGCAGTTTCTTGTACTCAGTCGATAGAAAAAATGGAGTTCTAAAGAAATAGCTATGAGTTTGGTCAACTGGACCATGGAATTAGCCGAAAATAGGGCTCAAAGTGGGCAAAATCGCCAAGGTTGCTAACTTCACGAGAGCGTAATTCCGCCAGTTTTCCATCAAATTTTGTTCTTTTGGTGTCATTACAATCGGGAAAAGATTCTCTATCATAAGTCTTTTTTTTTTTTTTTTTTTTTTTAAATTTTGTGACACCAAGAGACACCTCAGGATTGGGGGTTGCGACAGTCAAGAGGTTAATTCAGTTATCAGCCATTTCGGGTATCGGCCAA